TCGGCTCCGGCACTTTGATCTTTGAAGAGCCTACTTCAGCGCTTGGAACCAGTCCCGCTGCAAGAGCCCTCTTCAAAATCACAAGTTCTGACCTTGTGGCTTCGTTCTCAGCAGAGCGTGCCTCCAGTTCGTTTACCAGGTCTGCCCTTGAGGCCTCAAGTGCCTTAAGCCGCGCCCACACCGGCCTAAGCGCTTCCTCAATCAGCCCACGAACCAGTACCTCCGCAGTCTCCACCCCTTGGTCACCGGCAGACGAATCACGATCTTCAGCCATCAGCTCTGATACCAATTGTTACACGGTAAAATTCACGTCTCGAATTTTCACCCTGTACGGCCTGCCTTAACGCCTTAAGACAGTCAGCCTTCCACCCAATGCCGCGGCGCAACCCTTAATTGGAATAGGAACGCAACACTTTAACACACACTTAGAATAAAGGCACACGACTTTACGGTCAACGACCAACCTTGTATTAATTCACAATTAATACACTAGGACTAATACAACACGCTCACAATGTCTAACACACTTGCAAACACTCGGCCACACTGCTGTCTCTCGCTAAGACTACAAAACTCGCAGTTATGCCGCGGCATATTTATAGACGAGCCACGTCTGGCAGTTACAAGCCAACTGCCTAGCCTGAAGGGACGCGTCTCTTCGCGTGTGGCAGTTACCAACCGCCCTATGCCGCGGCCTTCCGGTCTGCCCAAGCACTTGTCCGCCCGAAGCCCTCAACTGCCTTGCCACCGGTTCGCCCCAAGGCACCTGTTCGCGTGTAACCGCCCTGCCCTTCCAGACTTGAGTCATGCCGCACCGAACCGACACGCCTCTTCGAGCTTGCACTCATGCTGCGGCCTAACCCAGGCCACCCACGAGCCAACTCTTTGCTTTGAGCTTGTGACCAACTCTCGTTGCCTTGCGCCCAGCTTGCCCAAGTCCCACTTGTCAAACGGCCAACCAACTCTCGTTGCCACCGAAGCTCCCAAATGTCGTGACTGCCCAAGGACAGCCACGCCCCGGGCTCAAGCCTGGCCACGCACCACGTACTACAATTGAGTTGCCCACGTGCCACCTTGAGCCACATGCTTTTGTTGTGCCTCCAAGCTGTTGTTCCGCATCCCGTAAGCCATGCCCCGCATGCCACTGATCTTCATCAACACTTGGACCACATGCCGGACCCGCACACCCATAGTCTTCCTTGACCATGTCATGCCGCCCATGAACCGAACATGGTTTCTCGCAACGCCAACCGTTCTGCCCTCATACTTGGTCTAGCTTGCCTTGTCTTGACTAAGTCCCCGTGCCTTAGCCAAACTTCCACCTTGCCCGTTCTTCGCAATGTTGCAATGCCGCGGCATACCTATGCCTTGGCCATTGCCACGATGACTTTGGCCGCATCCCATGCCCCAACAGCCACCCTATCGAGCCCAAACCAGGTCTCGATAAAGACCCGCCAAAAAGGGGTCTAACAGTAGGCCACTATCCTACCATCGAAAGTTGATAGGGCAGAAATTTGAATGATGCGTCGCCGGCACTATGGCCATGCGATCCGTCAAGTTATCATGAATCATCGCAGCAACGGGCAAGAGCCCGCGTCGACCTTTTATCTAATAAATGCATCCCTTCCAGAAGTCGGGGTTTGTTGCACGTATTAGCTCTAGAATTACTACGGTTATCCGAGTAGTAGGTACCATCAAACAAACTATAACTGATTTAATGAGCCATTCGCAGTTTCACAGTCTAAATTAGTTCATACTTACACATGCATGGCTTAATCTTTGAGACAAGCATATGACTACTGGCAGGATCAACCAGGTAACATTCCTAAATGATGCCCCGAGCACGAGCGACGAAAGAACACTCAATGCAACAAAGCAGTCATGCGTAGGACTAGCGTGCCACATTGGCACACGGGGAAAGAAGAAGATGAATTCCAATGCCCCGTGCTTATACCAAATCCAAGAGCCATGCACAACTACTCGTATGCCCAGATCGCAACCAAGGGTTGCACCGAGCACAAGTAGGCGTTTGGCGTCCATCCCACGCACACCCTCGCATACAAACGAGGACGAGCACAGGACGGAAATCGAGAGTTAACATGCAAAATGCCACCCGCAGCGGTATTCGACACCGGAAACCATGGAAAATCGGCCCCAGCAGCACCGAGGCAATCGACACTGAGAAGGCAAGGCGGCAAGACGTCATTGCTACGGCAATGATCCATCTTAACCACAAATGCCGGAGACAACTCACGCACCGTCTTGCATCGCAAACATCAAGTGCAACACAACTTACACCAACAGACCACACGGTTGGAATCGCTCCAAGCATATAGTCCACCACCGCAAGTTGAACGCCATGACACTCGCATCAATAAGTGCGAAAGGGAAAAGACCGAAATAAACCCACTAGTCGCATCGCCAACGAGAGGAGACCGAAACCACATAGAGTAAAGCAACTACTCGTGCCACGCCGTTGCAACCGACCGAAACCGACTAGTGCATACGGCGACCATGCTGAAACCCGGGCAGCGAAAGACCAACGCCGTGGACCGGAGAACCACGACCGAAAACCGAAACCCACATAGAGCAGTACAACTGCTCGTGCCACGCCATTGCAACCGACCGAAACCGACTAGTGCAAATGGCGACCTTACCGAAACCCAAGCAACGGAGAGACCAACGCCGTGGACCGGAGAGCCACGCAAAGAAACCGAAACCCACATCGAGTAGTGCAACTACTCATGCCGCGCCATTGCAACCGACCGAAACCGACTAGTGCAAAAGGCGACCATACCGAAACCCAAGCAGCGGAAGGGACCAACGCCGTGGACCGGAGAACCACGACCGAAAACCGAAACCCACATAGAGCAGTACAACTGCTCGTGCCACGCCATTGCAACCGACCGAAACCGACTAGTGCAAATGGCGACCTTACCGAAACCCAAGCAACGGAGAGACCAACGCCGTGGACCGGAGAGCCACGCAAAGAAACCGAAACCCACATCGAGTAGTGCAACTACTCATGCCGCGCCATTGCAACCAACCGAAACCGACTAGTGCAAGAGGCGACCATACCGAAACCCAAGCAGCGGAAAGACCAACGCCGTGGACCGGAGAACCACGGCCGAAAACCGAAACCCACATCGAGCAGTACAACTACTCATGCCACGCCATTGCAACCGGCCGAAACCGACTAGTTCAAACGGCGACCTTACCGAAACCCAAGCGACGGAGAGACCAACGCCGTGGACCGGAGGGCCACGCAAGGAAACCGAAACCCACATTGAGTAGCGCTACTACTCATGCCACGCCATTGCACACAACCGAAACCGGCTAGCGCAAACGGCGACCATGCCGAAACCCATGCAGCAGAAAGACCAACGCCGTGGACCAGAGAACCACGGCCGAAAACCGAAACCCACATTGAGTAGTGCCCTATGCCGCGGGGCAACTACTCGTGCCCACCCAACCTGGAAACCGCGGCATTCCAACCAACCGAACCGAAGGAGAGGATAACCAACCCACCGAAACCCACGCGGCGAAAATATCCAACTCCGTGGCATGGGAACCCACGCGGAACCCACGCTGAGAAGCGCCCCATGCCGCGGCGCAACTCTGCCCGTGCCCACCCGTCGAGGAGCACTCCCCCCCTATAGTAGATAAAAAAACATATACACTGAATCTCGGAGTAGCGACATTTTGGCCCGAAAAGGTATAAATTTTTATTTCAATTTCTTTTTCCTTTATTTTTTGCTGAAAAATGCCTAATTGTACACAAAACATTGAAAAATCAATATGTAAATGAGGATTAAACTTAAACTTAATTAAAAAAGTAATAAAATTAATTAATTAATATTTAATTAATTATAAATCTTAAATTTAATTAAAAAATCAATTAATTAATATTTAATTAATGATTAAACATAAACTTAATTAAAAAATTAATGAATTTAATATATTAATATTTACTTAATTACTAAACTTAATTTCAATGTAAAAAATTAATATATTTAATTATTAAACTTAACTCTAATTAAAAAATTAATGCTTATTAATTATTAAACCTCATTTTAAAGGCATGATACTTCAATAAAAAATCATAAAATCATATTAACACACATATGATAGTGATCTATGGAAATTTTTCTCTCTTTAATGTTTTCATTAATCCTTATTATCCTTAATCTTTTATCCTTGATTAAACATTTATCGTTTTCTTTAAACTTTTCTCGTTATTTCGTTTTCTTGATATGCAAGGGTTCGTTTATTTTGTTTATATACACGTACAAATAAGTAAGTAATTATTTATATACACGTAGTATAAATAAATATAATTCTAAATATTTTAATTAATCGTTATTAAAACTTATTAAGTAATAAATTAATTGGAGATAATGAATAAAATAACTCACGATTCATCAATGAATATTAATATGAACAATTGATCGGGAAAACCGCTTTTACCGACCCATTAACGCGGCAGGGCCCACGAACCCGAGAAGCGTATGAACCGTATGATCCGTAGGATCCGTATGAACCGTATGAACCGTAGGAACCGTAGGAACCGTAGGATCCGTAGGATCCGTAGGAACCGTAGGAACCGTAGGAACCGTAGGAACCGTAGGAACCGTAGGAACCGTATGATCCGTATGATCCGTATGATCCGTATGAACCGTATGAACCGTATGAACCGTATGATCCGTATGATCCGTATGATCCTTATGATCCTTAATCCTTTATCCTTAATCCTTTATCCTTTTCCTTTTCCTTTTCCTTTTCTTGATATATATATATATATATATTTATATAAATAAATAAATATATAAATCAAGAAAATCGCTTTTGCCGACCCGACCGGCGACCGCTTGTCCGACCCGTCCACGTGGCACGGCCCGTACCGAGACCCGACCGGCGACCGCTTGACCGACCCGTCCACGTGGCACGCCCCACCACCCGCGCCGAAACCCGACCGGCGACCGCTTGACCGACCCGTCCAC